CTGAAGCACTGCACGCCCTAAACCTCCAAAGACCCTAAACTCCGGACGAAGTTCGTCACTCTCACAACCGCCCAAACGGAAAACTACCACTGAGCACTACATGAGGCACGGGGCTTAAAAGCAGGCCCAAACTCTGCCCTAAACCCTAAACCCTAAATCCTAAACCCTATACCCTAAACCCTAAACTCCAAAAGGTCTGGAGCACAGAAGCCCAATGTAGGGGCATCATTACTTGGAATAAGGCTTTGGGGTCTATTACCCTAAGGGTCTACGCACCCAAATAGAAAATGATTCGTACCCAAAGTACCTAATACGGACTACTTTCAAGGCCAAAGTATGTATTATTTGGGTACATGGACCCTTAAGGTTGTATAGCATACTTATCTATAGGGGCCATAGGGGGATCGGATTACGACTCATTCCCAAACCCACAGTGTATTTAAACCGAACCCCAAACTCGGAAACCTTGGAAACCACACATTATTACACACCATCTATGAGACCCGATTGAAAACCATCCAAACAATCCTCCCCCCCCATGGTTTGTCCCAAGGGCCCTGAGCCCTCAAAGCCCCTGCACATCACCTTCATAGAACCCTCAAAAGGATCCCCAAAAGGATTCCTTTTGAGAAATCCCTGAAGGAAAGCTAACCCGTAACCCCTGAAGGATCCCTTAAAGGATCCTGTTACAGGAACCCTTTTCAAAGGAACCTGTAAAGGAGCCCCCAAAGAAACCCCACAACGATCCACACCAGGCACCCCCAAAAGCAAGCCCCGAAGAGGGAAAGCCAACAGGATTCCATAAGGGAGCCCTAAGCTCGAAACCCTAAGCAGCCCTAAACCCTAAACCTTAAAGGGTTTAGGGTTTACTAAACCCTAAACCTTAAAGGGTTTAGGGTTTAGGGTTTGGGTTTAGGGTGTTTAGGGTTTAGGGTTTAGGGTCGAACCCTAAAGGATAAACCCCGAACCTAAACGGAACCCGAAATCCTAAAAGTCTAAACCTGAGTCGAACCCTGAACCCATTTAAACCTTGACCGAACCCCAGCCATAAAAACCCCTAAGCCCTAAACCTCAGGCGAACCCTAACCTCTGGACCCTAAACCGCAACCAAACTAATTAAACCCTAAACCCCAATCGAACCTCCACACCCAGACCTTCCACGCACTTAGGGAATATACCTTAAACCATATGAGGGATCCTACTATAACTTAAGGTCTCTTCTAATATATTCCTCAAGAAGGGATATTGGAAGGTCTGGGTATGCCATCACCCTAGTCCACCGGCACTCTACATTGCACTTTATCGAATCCTGAATCCTCGGCCCTAAACCTTTTAGTCGAACCCCAAAGTCTTAACCTAAGCCTTAATCGAACCAAAACCCTCAACCCTAAACTCCTAAACCCCCACCCTCAAGAGGACCCTCAACCCCTAAACCTCAATCAAATCCTAAGTCCTCTCCCTCAGTCGAAGCCACGACCGAGCCTTCAGCTTGTGCGCCAACTTCTCGGTCTCCTGCTTTCGAATCCTTTCCGCCATGGCCTGGATCGGCTACTCTGCTCCAGAGGCTAGTCCATACCCATAGGCTCCTAAGTAGGTCCTTTTTGTGGTTTATGTATAGAATCCTATAAGGTAATCCCGAAAAGGAACTACTTAGGAGCCTGTGGGTAGGCCTTAAGGCTTTCAGGGTTTAGGGTTCGGGGCTTAATTAGGTTTTGGGGTTTAGGGAGGCTAGTGCTTCGGATTTCCAAGCCTCCATCTTGAGCTATATAGCATAAACATACCACATACTTAAGCCGGACACTGTCCAAAGAGGAGCCCCTTTAAAGGCCTAAGTATGTATGTGTATATATATATATGATACAGGTACATGAAGCCCTAAAAAGGGATTCGGGCCTGCTTTGGGCTTCAGGGTGCAGGTTCAAACAACAGCTCAGGGCCCTAACCCCTAAAGTTTAGGGCTTATAAGGTTCTGAGGTTCAGAGGTTGGGGTGTAGGGTTTTGGTGTTCTGATGAAGTCTGAGCGGGTTCCTAGACTTTCGTACTTACCAGGCATTTCAGGGTTTCGGGTGTGTAGTAAGGCAGTGCCAAATCCACGAACACAGTACCAGGTACAAGGCCACAAGATCAGGAATCGAGCCAGCGACGTACGGCTTTCGGCCCTTGCAGGGCGTACAACGGGGTGGGGTGGGGTGGTGGATGGAATTCCTAAGTTCCGGGTGATACAGTCAAGAATCTTCGAGGCCTAAGTTCTACATAGTAGTAACATTCCTTATAAAGTTCCGTATTATGATCATAGTAAAATGATTCAAGAACCGTGTTCTAGTCGTTGAGACCCTACATTAAGGGTTCAATGGCCTCAGGGCTCCGGGCTCCTTCTGTCAGGGTATCAGGTTACTGCATTCTGCAGGACACAGGCGCCGGGCATCTGTGGTTCAGGCCCATCCCGATTTTTTTGTTTTAACCGGGGATGGGTTTAGGGTTTAGGGTTTAGGGTTTAGGTCCGATTTTGGCCCATAGAAAGTCACAGCAATTCCCCTTTAAGTTGCGGAACATGGTTCAAGGTCGAGGCTGGGGCCTACAGCCCTACCCTATACACCCCAAGTTCTAGACCCTAAGCCGGCTTCAGGGTCTTCAGGGTTTATGAAATTTTGCCGACTGTCCCTAAACCTAAACCCTAGTAACCCTAAACCCTAAAGCCCGACTGTGGCTTTCCGACGGTTGATGATATAAATCCTGCATTACCCATAATAATACGGAATATACCATAATTCCCATAGTTTAGGGTCCTGGGGGGTAATGCAGGATTTATATCATCAACAGTATTGTAGGAGAACCCGCCTGCAATGCAGCGAGGTACGGCACCGCACCCTGAGAGGCCTTCCGAAGCACTGGAAAGCGTTGCGATGAAGTCTATGAAGTTTCAGGGTTTAGGGTTTAGGGTACAGGTTTTGGGGTTTGGGGTTCAGAGTTTAGGGTTTAGGGTTCGGATTCAAGGCGTTTGGGATCCAGGGTGAAAGGCTCTGTTGCGAGTATAAGATCGACATGCCCCAGCAGCAAAAGCAGGGTCTTTGCCAAAGTGCAGGTCTACTCTACTCTAGCCCACCCTACCCCATCCTACACTGGTCTACTCTACGCTACTCTGCTCTGCTTTGCTCCACTCCATTGTACGCTGCGGTACTCTACTACAAGTCTAGGCAAGTCTGTTGTCCTACTACCACTGCGACCGCTGCTTATGCTGTGATACGCATACGAAGCCATAGGCAAGTTTCTCAACGCGGCTGATAACCAATGATGTTCTACGCCTGCGCGATGGAAGAAGCGACGTCCTTACAAAGCGCATGCGACCCACGCTACTTTTCATGCTGCTGATGCTCAATAAGCCGCTGATGGTGACAGTGGTGCCGGTAACATGCGCAGCCCTGCCCATTTACGTTGATGAAAGCCCCAGACCCTGAACCTGAACCCAAACCTCAAAAAGCCCTAAACCCTAAACCCTAAACACCCTAAACCCTAAACCCTAAATCCTAGACACCCAAAAAAACCCTAAACTCTGTAGACCCTCGACCCTCTCTGCCCGTGAGACTCCAAAATCCCCGGCACCAAACCAAACAAAAAGGGTTTAGGGTTTAGGGTTTAGACCCCAGGCTCTACACATCCCGTAGCTAAGGAGTATACCTGATTAGATTAAGGTGGTATTCCACCATTAAGCTAGGAGTATACCTCAATAAATTAAAGCAAATATTCCCTGGTTGGCCCTTTAAAGCCTCTGAAGAACATTAGTAAATAGGGTCCTCTTAAGCCCAATCAGGGAAAATGCAAAATATCCCAAAGGCCTACCTAGTTCCTTAATTAACGGATTTTGGAAGGTCTGGGTACGAGCCTGCCAGACTTTGAACTTGCCCACTTCAGTGCCTCGGTCTGTCGCTTAACAACAACTGGGAAGGGTCAGGCGGTCAGGGTTTAGGGTTTAGGGCTTAGGGTTTAAGGGTTTAGGGGTTTAGGGGTTTAGGGGTTTAGGGGTTTAAGGTCGAGGGTTTAGAGGTTAGGGTGTAGGGGTTTTGGGGTGTAGGGGTTTCCAGCGGCGTTGCTATAAGAGGTAAAAGCAAGGGATGCTACAAGGGGTACCAAAGGGGCTAGTGCTAAGGCTACTAGGAGCTTCCGAAAAGTCATGGCTTCATGCAGACCTTTTTCTAGAGTTTGAGTTTGGGTTTATCAGAGTTTTTTGGGGTTTGGGGGTCAGGACATAATAAGGGTTTAGGGTACCCCTTGGCGAACTCATTCAAACAAGAGCGGGCATTCGGGCTGTAGGTTTTGGTTGGGTTTCAGATTTACCTATAGTCTCCATTCTAGTTCCTTCTTGGGGTTACCTTACAGGATCCTCAATATATGAACTTGGTTAACCCACAAAGAGGCACTACAATGGACCCTACCGTGACTACGGGTAGGGCGTGAAGGGAAGTTTAGGATGATGCCGTTCGAGACAACTCGATTCGGCAACCGGCGGAAAGCGACCACAGCAGGCCGAACTCTACTTAGTATTGGTAACATCATGTGGGTAGTTCTCTACGTCTAAGGTCCCTTCTTGGGCCTCCAACACAGTACGGCAGCACGTATAAAAAGGACCCCAAAAGGGACCCTAATGTAAAGAAGAACTACCCATGTTACATCAAGTACTTCATAAGTGCCATACGCTAAAGCCCTCAACCCTGATCTCTAAAGCCGAAGGAAGCTGCTTGGATCTGAACCCTTCGTTCCTACAGCCGAGAAAACTCTGAATCTTAGGCCCCCATGCGCGCGAGCCCTGAAGCCCACAACCCGACTCCCCAAACACTGGCCCGAAAACCCTGATAGTAACCTGTATAGCAACCTTGTAGTAACCCTTAATATGTCCTACAAAACCCCCGTGATATAGTGGCCTTCATAAACTAGAATAGGCTTTGGGGGGGGGGNNTCTAGGTAATTATTTAGGCCCCTGTATTACGTCCTCTTGGGCCCTGGACCAATGAATTTCCTGGCTTTCTCGACCTCGTTCTGCCGCTTCTGGGCATTGGCCTGTAGGGGCACGGGTAGGACAGTCTTGGGAGTTTTGGGTGCTAGGGCTCATGGGGTTTACGGGGTTTGGGTAGGACATTCTTGGGAGTTTATGTTGTTTGTGTTTTAAGTGCAGTGGCCCTTTTCTGTGCGGCAGACGCGCCCACCCCTGTTGAGGGGAGTGCACGAAAATGGGAATCCCGACTCACTCTTGTTTAGGGTGTTACGGGGTTTATAGCGTTTACGGTTTAGAGTTTGGGTTGTCTGGTAAGTGTCTTGGGTGGACAACTTAAGGCCGTGGGTGAAGGGCTTAGTGTATGCCTGAATCCCAAATGGCTGTTTGCCGTGTATCGGGGGTTTAGGGTTTAGGGCTTAGCGTAGATTCCGGAGCAACACCGGGTCACCACTGCTTACACTGCCGCGACGAGCGAAATGGACAGAAGTAGCTTATGGCTCACTTGCCAGGAGCCCAGTTACTACCTCGACACTACACCCAAAGAAAAGAAACACAACCCTGTAACTGGGAAGCCGAGACTGTGTACTGCTACGTGTGAAAGGAGGACTTACGGGAGCTTCAAACAAGAAGGAACCTTTATTTATACAGAGAGGAAAACATAGGAAGGACGCACCACAGGGAACACTATTCTCTAGCTTTTAGACTTCATTCCACCGCCCCGACAAAATTGGACCTGCACCACTTTCTGAAGGTCGTCCACGGAGTAGGAGAAGACCTGGAAGATTGGGTACGACAGTTTCAACCCCTCATCCTAAATCCCAAACCAAGCTTGGGCGTTTTCAGTTTCATGTCCTACTAAGCTGCAGTTTCGTTTGCAATCCGGCTGCCGAGTTCCTAGCTTCGCACAAAGAGGCAGGGGCTGCATATGATGGTTTGCATGATGCCTAATATGAGGGAGTCATTTTCTGCGACTTCGGACCTCAATAGTAGCTGAACTGCCGCATCTTTCTGAAGATCTTAACTCTTCAACCTTGAGAAAGGTCTGAGCCCTACACCCTAAGCTCTTTCATAAGACACGGAGGCTCCGACGGCTTTTTTTAAAGTGCTCTCAAGGCCCCAAACCCTACACTTTTCTGAAACCTATGTGTGCTGAATGAAAACGTCGCAATCTCGAGGGGCAAGCTCCCTTCACATCTGCGCAGCCGGCATCCACGTTCAAGGGCACCTGGCACGGCCACTCGGGGTTTAGGTAGTAGTTTAGGGTTCAGGGTTTAGCGATTCAACCCGAGTGTTCTATGCGAGGGGGGGGGGGTGTTCTAACCAAGATCCGAATGCTCACCAAATGGCTGCCAACAGGAATCGACCTCTGAGGTGAACCAAATCTGCGCCACTCCAAAAGGATCGCCGAGAACCTTTGGGGATTGGGCACAGCTGAATCTTCCGACCCCTGAATTACCCTCAGGGTCCTCCCAGTGCCCAAGTCGTAGGATGTTGCGTCTTGCAGGGGCCCAAAACCATTCAGACTGTGGGTTTTGAGGCCTAATAATGCTTGGCTACTTCAGTACTTGGACCCTCGGGCCTCGGCTCCCAGTTTGGGGGGGGGGGGGGGT